CTTTGCCTTAGTGTATGTACTTATTTTACCTTTCTATGCATATAAAACACTTAAGAAACACTTGCATATTCTCTAAAACATCTTACAGCATTGTTATAATGATAATAATACAGTAACAATAAAATAACAGGTATTGAAAAGAGAGAGAGAGAGAGAGAATATCTGTAGGCATGGAGTATTGTAAAAAAACAAAAGAAACAGTTCTTAAAACAGTTTAGAACATTCTTGAGCTAAGATTAAGCCGGACATTAACTGATGATGGTGGAGGTGGACCTGGTGCTGGAGAGGGCTGGTTACCGCTGGAGTCACTTTGTTGAAGTAGGTTTCGAGGGCTGTCTGTACCGCCATTTTCTGCTCTCACCATCAGTGGCCTTGTGGCAGCTGAGTGCCTGGTTACAAGAGCAAACACCAAAGAAAAACCAGAGAACCACACCCCTTACATTTGCCCCGTAACACACTGGCTTGAGCACGCTCGAGCCAATGCCGTGAAGTGAAAAGCTATGAATACTGTATCTCTAGAGAACTAGGCTGCCACTGAAGGCATGTTGCCAAATGGGTCGCATAGTTCCCTAGGGAGATTCACAGCTTTTCCCTAGAGGTATTTATGTAGGGTTTATGGTAGCCTACACATTTGTAAGTACAGGTTGATAATAACCCAGACTTTCATAACCTGGGGACTACCTGTGCAGAGAACTAACAGAGTCCCAAGAGTGACAACTCATGGGATTGGATGCCCCGCTTCCCACAGAAACGTCTCTGGTAGAGAACAACATGAGCAGAAGCTGGTGCAGACGGCGCTGTGGGCCCAAATGTGCATGGCACGATGTCAGGGCTCCCTTCTCCTCTGGGGAGCTGGAAAGGGCCATTCTAGGAAGCCGGTGCCAAAAGGCATTCCTGGCCAGCAGAGCCACAGCTTTGCTGGTGCCTCAGATCTCTGCAGCACTTTTCCTGGCCTTCTGCCTTTCTCTAGCAAAAGGGCATCCATGTAACCACTGGCTCTTCCCTTGGCCAGGGAAAAGGGACCGAAGCTTTTTGCCCTTCCAATTAGTGCATGCACTAAGAAATGCAATGGCGATGTACGTAGCAAGGGTTGGAGAAGGACGAACGGATCTTTGGAACTCACCGGATGGCCAAAATCAGGCTTCCTCTTGGCACCTACAGCTGCTTTGAGCATCAGCTCCCATCAGCAGGACCAAGGGGCAGGTGCGCTGGGAGCCCCCTTCAGTGTGCCAGGCAGCACATTGAGGAAGGCAGGCCAGCAGCCTGACACAGGCTGTGCTCCTGCCACCCTGTGCTCCCTGTGCGACCTAGCTTGGTGAAATGTTCCAGGGGAACTGACAACCTGCACCTTTTGTGGGTTACGCTCATAAGAAAGGAATTCCCTAGATGTGCATCTCTGAGTGCGAAGAGCCCTGCTGACGAGCAAGTGAGCAGAAGGGCGAGGAGTCCAGAGCATGGGACTCTGCTTTCTCTACCAGTCGGGTGAGGAAGCTGCAGGGAACAGCAGAAAAGGACATCTACCACCCTCTGCCACTAGGATAAATAAAGGATCTGAATAAAGTTCAGAATCTGAGTGGGCTGGTGTAACTTGCTGACCCGCTTTGAGTGCCACGTGTGTTACTGTCTGCCGGCTGGGCAGAGGTCCTGCACATGAGCTCAGTGGCACGAGCTCCTGGCTCTCAGGGAGCCGATGCACCCTCTTGAAGCCAAGCTTGCTCAACTGGAGAAGCAAGGAGGGGTGAGGCAGGCTGGAGGACAGGGCCCTGGGGACCAGCTAGCAGGGTCCTGACTCCTGGGTGGCAGCTGCTCTGCTGGCATGGAGAAGGGGGGTCCTGGGGAAGGAGGGCATCATTCTGAGGAAGAGGGAAGAGATCCCTGGGAAAGGACCCCTTCCAAGGTGGGGATGGGCTCCACTCAGACCAGAATGGAACCAGGCCTTTAAAGCAGACCCTGGGGGAAAGTCAACAGGAGTTGGGATGCATCCGGATCAGGTCAAGTCAAATCAGCCCTGTGGATGAAGAGGAGGCTGTGTCGGACTGCCCGGGTATGGGAGGGGAGGAAACAGGCAACTCGGCCGTGGTAAGGCATGATGACCATTTGGCGAGGCCTACGTGTCAGAGGAATCGCTGTAATCTTTCGCGTGAGGAGCTCATGGCTTTTCTAGCAACTTGTCCCACTGCCATGTTGCTCAGACAGTGAGGAAGCTTTTCCTGATGTCCAGCCTGAATCTGGGTTGTCGCAGCTTGACTTGGTTATTCTGTGTCCTGCACTCTGGCATCAGGAAGAAGAGATCTTGGCCTTCCTCTTTGTGGCCACCTTTCAAATACCTCTAATGTGATATAATGAGAGATTTGAATGTGTTTCTTCCATGGGGAAGTTGTGGGCTCTCACTAGAGACATTCAAAAAGCATCTGGCCAGTCATCTGAGTGGGATGGTGTAACTTGGTAACAGCAGGGGGTTGGACCCAAGGGCCTTCTGGCCCCGTACAATTCTACTGTTCCATGATTCTGTGACCATTTATCTGTCGCTTCTGGGCAGCCATCCCTCAAATTCAGTCTGTACTTCTCTCTGTCATAGATCTTCTTGTGGGAGAATAGAAGCTGAGCACCTCAACTCCCTTGCCATTTCCGTGTTCTCTGTTATCACCTTCCCATCCACTTTAAGTATTTGGATACCTTCCTCTTTCATATGTCTTTTGTTTTGAACATATCTGAAGCAAGCGTTCTTGTTATTTTAGCACCTGTCACCAGGACAACTCCTTGGGCCCCAGTGTTTTTGGTTTTCCTCTCTAGAGCTTGGGTGTGGGTGTGGGTTTGGGCTTTGGCTTCCTCTGTTGGCTCCAGGAAGAAAGCAAACCCGGCGAGTCTCTAGGTCGTTGCAGCACACAATTTTTTCCATTCTGTGCAATTCACACTCTTCTTATTGTTGCAAGATGCAACATTTCGCCTGTTTGGCTGTCTTATATCCTCTTGTTCAACATCTCTCAGTGTGTCATGAAGTTCATCACAGCCAGGTCCTGTCCCGCCTCTTCTGTTAGTAACTGAAAGTGGCTCTAAAGTATCCTTCTGGGATTCTCCTCTTCTGCCTCAGCTCACCGTGGCAATTCTTGCTTCCGTAATTCTCTCAGCTGCTGCATTTCCATCGCTCTGCCTGAAAACTCCTTGTGGGCGGACACTCGCTCCTCCAGCGCTCGCTCCTTCTCCTCTCACAGGGCTGCCAGCTTGCACCTGCTGCACACACGGGGCCGTATGGACCCCGGGCAGGAAGGCAAGCCTTGCGCTGACGCTGCAGGTCCGCCACTGTGGAGCCTCCTCGGTCCATTCTCTGCACCCACTTTTTGATTCTCGCTCACTGGGTCTATTGCAGCAACTGGTGCTCCCCACATCTTCCCTGAGGGCTAACAGCACAGTCCGGCCAGTAAACAGGAGGGTGTTACGAGGAAGGAAGGAAACCAGGAGGGAAGTTTGGGGGTGGAGAGATGGAAAGAGAAAAAAGTATTTTTATTTATCGCATTGGGTTTGGCTTGTCTTTATTTACTGGATCTATTTGAAAGCTGCCCATTGTATCCCAGGATTCCTGGACCAGCTGGGCCAGCTTCCTCTGATCTGCTCAGGGAGCCAAGGTCCCATTTGGATGCCAGGAAGTACTTCTTGACAGTTAGGACCCCGAGGGTGTGGAATGGGCTCCCACGGGAGGTGCTTGAGGCCCCATCGGTGCGGGTGTTCAAGGATAGGCTGGACGTCCACATGGTGGGCATGTCGTGAGCGGAGCCGGCTGGTGCCGGAGGTCAGACTAGATGGCCAGGGAGGCCCCTTCTGCCTTGCTCTGTTTTCTATGTTTCTATGTATGTGTGGCTTAGAAAAAGTGCAAGGAAGGGGACGCATGATGGAGGTTTTTGAAATAAAGTATGGTGTGGAGAAGGTGGAAGGGAAGACGTTTATCTTCCTCTTCCGCAACACTCCACCCCAGGGTCATCCCATGACGCTGATTTGAGGACGGTTCAGGAAAGATGAATCAGAATAGCAAGGTTGGGGGGACCAGAGGGTCCTTCTGCCTGCTCAGTGCAGGGCTCCCAGTTCAACCATAATTCCCAGTTGGCTGTCCAGTTGCATTTTGAGTGCCTTCAGTGTGGGAGGGCCCACAAGCTCCTTTGGTAATTGGACGCAGTTTTGCACTGCCCTAACTGTGAGGAAAGTTAGTTTCCGCACACTGCGTAGTTAACCTGTGGAATTTACTGCTGGGGAAGTGGCAATGGCTGCCAGTCTGGGTGGCTTCGGAGGAGATGGGAGGGATTTGTGAGGGAGGAGGCCATCGGTGGCTACTGGCCTTGTGGGCTCTGTGCCGCCTCCCCCAACAGAGGTGGTGTGCTGCGTCCTGCCGTTCCTCAGGAGCTTGGGCAGAGGAGGCCTCACACACACCCAGGCAGCTGCCCTCCTGGCGGTGGCCCCCTAAAAGGGGCTCAGGCATGGGGCAAACAGGGAGAAAGGTGCACTTTCTGTCATTGAGAATGCACGAACAGTCCGTTGCAAGCGTGGTTCCCCTCACTTTTTTCGTTCCGGTCAAGGAACGCAGCACCCTTCTTGCAAACAAGGCAGCTGCAAGGGCTCGCTTGCAAAGGATGCCTCCTCAGTCTCTTGCACCAGCCGGTGGGCAGCCAGGTGTGCATCAGGACAGCCCTGCCATCGCGTCCTCTCTAGCATAGCCTTCAGGTCCAGAGCGCCTACAGGTGTGGCAGACGCATCTCCTGGTCATGTCAGTCCTTGAGGGCAGAGGGGACCATTCCCTGCCCCACGCCCTGGCCTCAGCCCTTGCCGAGCTCCTCCCGGGGCAAGGAGGGGGCGCGACAAAGGCGGGAGCAGCTGGCTAAGCACAGGTTCAAGCAAGAGGGGCAGGCCAGCCTCCGGTACTGCTGGCGCCTGGCTGACGTGCAGGGAAAAGGTGCCGGAACGCACACGGCCAGGTTCTAGCTCCGATGGGAATGGGAGGTCAGACAGTGAGGATGCAGGGATTCTGGGATGTCAGCAGGCGACAGTATCAGACCAAGGCCAGGAAATGCCTGAGGCATGAGGAGGGTTCCCCCACGGAGGTGGAGTTGGACGCCGAGGCTGCTGAAAGCCCCAACCTGCCAGTGGGGGAACGGGGAGAATTTGCGCGCGCACCAAGAGTTGAACAGCCTGTCAAACACAGAGGTCTCTCCCAACGAGGAGGGGATGCCGGTTGCTGGGCAACTCAGGCCGGCTGGCATGGGCGGGAGGGCTGCAAGGGCGGTGGAGACCGTGGGGCGCTGGAGGGGGCTCGGCGATCCAGGTGAGCAGAAACGGGCGTGTCACAGTACGGCCTTGTGGAAAGAGACTTTGGGCAGCCGGTTTACTCAGGAGGAGGACCATGCCTCACAGCACGGGCCTCCCGTTAGGAAATCCACACTCCCCAGGCAGCAGCACGGGGCAGAGCTGCCCACAACCTGCTGCAGGGGCACCCCAGCAGGGAGGCAGCCAGCGGCTCGCAGCAGGGAGGGTGCTACATTCTCCCTGTGCTGCTGAGGGGCAGGCAGAGCGAGGCAGGTGGGGGCAGTGGCGGGGGCAGCGGGAACGGGGCCGTCCGGTTCTTCCAGGGCTGACTTTGTCCTCCTCTCTCCTTGTCTCCCAGACCGCCCCCCGTCTCCTGTCAACGTCACCGTCACGCAGCTCAAGGCAAATTCTGCAACTGTCTCCTGGGATGTCCCTGAGGGAGATGTCATCATCGGCTACGCCATCTCGCAGCAGGTGAATGGGCCCAGGAGCAGCTCAGGCTCTGCCTGGGGAGCTGCACCGGCACTGCCCCTCTGTCCTCTGCAGGGCTGGCTGCAGAGCCCCGCACCTCCTTACCCCCCGGCCTCCTGCTTTCCCGAGAGGCCTGCCTCAGGCCAGAGCGCCACAGTCGCTCCCCCTCACCATGAGAGCGCCCCACTCATCTGCACCGGGGCCCTGGAGGAGGGCAAGATGGGCGTCCTCCCCCCGCGCCAAGCTCGCGCCTCCCAGGCTTGCTCCTCGGCTGACCACGCTCTCCTGTCGGGCAGCGGCAGGACGGACAGGTGCAGCGGTTCATCCGAGAAGTGAACACCACCAACCGGGCCTGCGTGCTCTGGGACCTGGCCGAGGACGCCGACTATGTCGTCCAGGTGCAGAGCATCGGTCTCCATGGAGAGAGCCAAGCCAGCAAGAGGGTGCATTTCCGCACCCTGAAGCAGAGCGAGCGCCTCCCCTCCAACAGCTCCAACCAGGGTAGGTGTGGCGGCTCCCCACATCCTTCCCGCTGCCCCGACGCCCTTCGGGGAGCTGCCTCCGCACAAGGCTTCCACAGCCATGAGCAAGCGGTTTGGCGGGAAGGGGGCCTGTTCGACACACCCTCCTCGTGTGACACCCTTCCTCCGGCCTCTGCTCACCCACTGACGGCAAACACGGTCTGGCAGCAGCCTGCCCCGGCTCCTGCCCCCCTGCTGGGTGCTCCCCGCGGCCCAGTGGCCTCCCCAGGAGGAGTTGGCCCTGTGAGGGCAGCCGTTTCACCCGCGGGGAGCCTGACATGCCCTCCTGTGACCTCCCTGGGCTAAGGGCAGCCCCAGAGGGTTCCTGCCTTGCCTTGCCGCAGCACTCAAGTTCTCCATTGCCAGTCCCCAGCCCTTGTGTCCCTGCAGGAGACATCACCATGGAGGGGCTGGACAAGGAGCGGCAGCTGCAGACGGGCGAGATCGTCATCATTGTGGCCGTGCTGCTCATGTGGGCAGGTACGTCCTCTGGATCCTCTGGCTCACGCACTGCCCAAGCACGCGCGACTTAGATTGTCACGTGGAAGTCTCTGACCAGTTATCGCAATTCACGAAATGCTTGTGGCTTCTCTCCTTCCCACCAACATTTCGGCAATCATAAACCTTTTCCTCTTCATCTCTTGCGCAATTTCACACAAACCAGATGCTTCCCTGCTTCTGTCTGCTTTCCTCCAGGGTTGTTTGGAAGCTGCTGTGCCACCGTTTTGATGTCATACACCAGCAGTCCGCTTCTGTTTTGGCTCCAGTGTAGCCCGTCCCTCCGGCACAGGCCGGGTTATACCAACAAGTTCCCCAGTGCCTAAGAAAACTGATCCGCCCCTCCCTGTACCACCATCTGCCCCCCACTGGGACTCCTCAGCTGTGCTTGTGAAACACATAGTGTTTCGGAGCAGTCGTCCTTGTGCTGGGTTCCCCCTCCAGGTAGCACCCGAACTGGGCTTCTCAGACCTCCTGGCTGCCTTTCCTCACGTCTGGTGTCGAGACTGATGTTCCATGAGCGCCCTCTGGGTTTCGCAAGGGTTCTGCCCTCGGAGTGGGAGAGCTCTCTAGGCACAGACTTGGTTCTCGGCCCCCAGATGGCCCCCGTTCTGCATCGATGCAGGAACCCCCGAAGTGCCAGCTCGGTCAGTCCCAAGGGGGCGTGCCGCTTTCTCCAAGACAGTTGGCGCAGTGCTCGGCTGGCATGTTGGCAGCTGCCACATCAAAGGGCTCAGGACCAAACTGAGCCAGGGATTTCCCCAGAAGCTAAAATGGCACGGCTGAAGCTTTCACACTTTAGCCATATCATGAAAGGGCAAGACTGAGCGGAGAAGACAGGCATGCTGGGGAAAGCCCCAGGCAGAAGCGGGAAAGGAGGACCATGCGAGAAGGCTTGACTCACAGAGGAGGCCAGAGAAGTGCGGGCTCACTCAGCCTGTGCACCGCCCACTCGGTTCCCCGCCACGGGAGCTCTCCACAGGATCCTGTGCCTGGCCAGAGATGCCCTCTTCTCTTTGCTTTCCTCCACAGATCATAGAATCACAGTAGAGCTGGAAGGGGCCAAGAAGGCCCTTGGGTCCAGTCCCTGCTGTTGCAGGACACCAAGTTGCACCATCCCGCTCAGGTGGCTGTCCAGTTTCTTCTTGCATGTCTCTAGTGTGGGAGAGCCCCCCACCTCTCCAGGCAGATGGTTCCTCTGACAATGAGGATGCTTTTCCTGATGTTCAGCCTGAGTCTGGGTTGTTGCAGCTTGAAAGGATTATTCTGTGTCCTGCACTCCGGCATCAGCCAGAAGAGATCTTGACCTTCCTCTTTGTGGCAGCCTTTGAGGAACTTATAGCGGGACAACATGTCTGCCCTCAGTCTTCTCTTCTCAAGGCTGAACATGCCCAGTTCCCTCAGTCCCTCCTCACAGGGCAGTTTCCAAACCCTGGATCATTTTTGTGGCCCTCCACTGGACCATTTCTAATTTTCCTGCCTCTTTCTTCAATCTTGGTGCGCAGAACTGGGCATAGGACTCCAGGTGAGGCCTGACCAGTGAGGATTGTAGGGGAACTGCTCCATCTCCTGGTATGGAGGTAATGCTTTTGTTCATGCATCCCAAAATAGCATTTGCCCTTTTGGTGGCTGCATCGCTTTGTTGTGATGATGCCAGAGTGGCGCCAAGCACCTGTTGTAGCCTCTGAAAGCAGGGAATCGCACCCGAAGCTGGGGAGAGTGTGGGGGCTGCTTTCATCATGGACCGAGGCTTTTGAGGTAGGGGGACTGCCATGGCCGCCAGGGCAAGCGAGCGCTGCAGGAGACGTTGTGAGAAAAGCAACCAGCAGGCTGCTCAGGAGGCGCCCCCAAGTCACCTCCCCCTTTCTTTCTCCCTCGCCTCGCTCCAGCGGTCATCGCCCTCTTCTGCAAGCAGTATGACATAATTAAGGACAACGATTCCAACAACAACAAAGAGAAGAGCAAGCCGTCCTCTGAACACAGCACTCCAGAGCGGCCAGTGGGTGGGCTGCTACGCAGCAAGGTCAGTCCAGCCCCCATGGCCCGAGCGGCAGCTGGAGCCGAGGGAGCCTGTCCTGCCCAAAGAGACCGGCTGTTGGGCAGGTGGCCTGGGGAGGTGCGGCACAGCCGGGGCGGCTCATTCGCGGAAAGGCAGTCGGGGACAAGGGGCAGGCGACCGGAGCAGCCTCCGTGCACCACCCCATGGCCTCCGTTCCACGACAGGGCCAGGCCTCACGCAGCAGCGCACGCCCAGCCAGGTGGCAGGGAGAGCCCCCCTCACTGCCCGGCCACCTCCCCGGGTTTGGCGCCCTGGAGATCCCCACCTGCTGCTCTCGCACTGTGGCACTTGGCCCAGGGAGAAAGCAGCTGGCTCGACCAGTCCCGGTCCTGTGCCCAGAAGCTGCAGCTGCACCTCTCTTGCGAGGCCCAAGTGACCCTCTGGGCAGCCAGACCCTTTCTTCCAGGTTGCAGCAAGGAAGCAGCAGCGTGGGTTGGGGGGGCACGATGCAGCGCGCTGGCCCCCTGCCGTGGTGGCGAGAGAGCTCGTGCGGGGCCGGGAGCCGACAGGGCAAATTGAAGATGACGCTGAAAGCAAGCTGGCAAGCAAAGACAACAATAACGGCCAGTTTGCCCCATGACTGAGAGCTAGACTAGAAAGCCCCCTTGCCAATTTCTCTGAATTGGGGGGACAGCATGCCCCCACCCCGTGAGAGTTGTGAAGAACCCCCGGCCAAGCAATGCCTGCAAGCGTCCCCGAAGGCACTGCAGGCTGGCTCAGCGCTGGCTTTGAGTCTTGGCCACAGAGGCCCTCTGCATTGTCACATGGGGCCAGTCCAGGCCTGGAGGCCCTTTGTGAAGGAAGCACCTAAGGAGCAGCCAAGCATGCTGGCTCTCGTGCTGGGAACCATGCTCCACAGTGGCCAGCTGAGCCAGCACATGGGAGCCAGGGCCCCTCAGCGTGCGGAAAGCCCCAGCGCCTTGGAAGCAGGCTTGGCAGAAGGCTGGTCCAGTAGCTCCCTAGGTTGGCCTTCGCCAAACTTGTGCCTTCCAGACACATTTGGACTGCAACTCCCAGAATTCCTAGTCAATGGCCCTGCTGAATAGGGAAATCTGGGAGTTGCGGTCCAAATACCTCTGAAGGCCAGAAGATTGGGGAAGTCTGCTCTGGATGGCTCGCCCAGTCTCTTAATAGGCTGTCTGTATGGAAGGAAATGTAACTGAAAAGCGGATTTTGTTCCAATGGGACTGTGAATTTTGTAGTTATGGAATCCCTCTCCCTCTCTCCCTTTCTCTCTCTCGCAGAAGAAATCACCATCAGTTAATATCATTGAAGTGTAGCTGCTGCTACCGGCCAGGAGTGTCAGGGAAGATCAGGGGACTTTGCTGAGCTCCTGGCCAGTCTCTTCACCTGCATGCAAAGCATCAACGCTTCTTGCCCCGCGGGGAAAGACCTGCATGGAGCCAGGCCCTGGGACAGGTGAAGGCGGAAGTCAGCGTCCAGCTAACTCCCTGCCTGTATCTGCAGGAGGGGACGACTGGGAAAGGCCCCCCGTGGCAGCCACCTGGGGAAACCTGCAAAGCAGGCGGCCTTCCTGGACAGCTGCTCCTGGCACAGGCTCCAGCTGAGTTGCCCTCGCCTTTCCCCTGCACAGCAGGAGCTGAGAGCACCGCCCATGCCCCCTCGGACTCACACTGACTGACCAGAGGCAGCCGTGGAGGCGAGGCAGCTGGGCCTCTGCCATGGCCACCAAGAGCCGCAGCACTTGGGCCTCATCCCCTCGGGAGCCGAGAGGGAGGCGTGGCACTCCAGCGTGGCCCAGGCCAGCACAGACTGCTGGTCTGGCCTTCCTTGTGGAAAGAGGGAACGAGCCAACGCGAGCTTGGCGGAGGAGGGATCTTTCCCATCGTGGGGGCATCGCCTTTCCTCCCGCTTCCACCAGGGCTGCCACCCGCACCATGCAGAGGAAATGAGGGTTCCTCTGCTCCCCCATGCCAAGTGGCACCCCCAGACCCTCCGGCATGCCGAATGCCCACGCTTCACAGGCGTCCCATGGGAGTGCCAGCTGTCCTGTCATTTGCCATGACCACACAGACCCCCTCTGGCGCTCACAGCGGTGCTGGCTAGAGACAGCAGTGGGGGGTGGGTCCGGGCGGCCGGAGACCCCTGCACTTGCTGGCCAGTACCTCCCAGCTGCACCCAGCTCCCAGGAAGACGGCGGATGCTGGAGGGGGGTAGAGCCCTCCTGTGCCAAGGCAGCTGGGCCCACGTGGCCTGCAAGCACCAGCAGCACCCAGTCTTCCAGCAATCATCCAGCTCTTCCAGCCCTGCCAGGAGGAGGGGCTGCAGCCCCAGGGCCACCTGGCCAGGACCCACAGCCCTTCTTGGCCAGACGCCGTGTGGGGCCGACTGTGGGGAGGCAGCACTGCTCAGGCAGGTCCTCAGTAAAAGCCACACAGCCTGCGAGCAGCTGCATGGAGTAGAGGCAAGCCGTGCTTGTCCTTCGGTGTGGGCCGAGCAGAAGCCCCCAAGTCGGGCGGTGACTGCCCAGCCAGGACAAACCCCGGCCCAAGAGGCATGCGGGCAGCTTGCAGCTCTGCATGGCACTTGGGGCCCCCGGGGCCTCTTCCCACAACCATCCACTAGAGGGCACCATGAGCCTCCCCCTACCCCACCACTCCAAAAGCCCCGCTCCCACCATTCAGACATGCAAATCAGGCCAGGGCGGCACAGACACCTGGACCGTAAGGCAGTGCTGGGGAAGCTGGGCCACGGCTAGAATGTGTGACCACTGCGGGGCCCGGCCTGCCCCCTCGCTCGGCCCACAAGGAACGCTGTACCGGCCCAGGCGAGCAGGAGGTGACCTGGGGCTTCACGGCTCTCTGGCCCCGGCAGCCAAGGCTAGACAGGCCCTGGGCCTCCAGCCAGCCCAGAAGGCAGCGGGCAAGGCACCGGGCGCCATCACACCCCAAAGCCCACTGCAGCTCTGCCCCGAGACCCGTGGCCTGCTCTGGCTCGGGGCCCCCACCGGGGGAGGACAGCCCAACAGCTGACCTTGAGGAGGCTGCTAGAGGCGGGACAAGGGCCATGCGATCCGGCCCCTGCTCCCCATCACGCCTCTTCTCTGGGCTGTCCAGGGCTGCTCTGCGCCTCACCTCCTGTGCGGGGGGGTGGGAGCAGCCCTGGGGGTCCGAGACGGAGGGGCCGGCTTGGCACGGCACTGGGCCAGCGGCCGCCACAGCTCAAGGTGCAGCCCACGAAGACCACCCCACCTGGGCAAGCCATGGGGCCGCACAGCCAACCCCGCACTGGCTCGGTCTGGCCACAGCGGCCACGCTGCCCCCCGAGAGCGACCCTCCCTGCCCAGGCTCCCCTCCCCAGCAGGGCCCTCAAAGGAAGAGACCCCAGTACAACGCGGAAATGGTTTATTCCCCTTTAGAAAAAGGCATTAAAAACTAGTCTTTTGCTACAAAGTTGTGACTTGGCAGTGACAAGTGAGGGTGGGGGGCTGCTGTCGGGGGTTCCCACACTCACACAGCTCCCTCTGGAGTGGGGGGGCTGAAGTCCAGGTTTCCTTGCTCATGCAGCTCATGTCCTGCCCCAGCCACCTTCGGGGCTGGGCCCCACGCCAGCCCTCCATCCGCGGGGCTCCTCTGCAGAAGGCCGCGCCAGCAGCAAGCAGTGCCGAGGGTCCCCACCGCACGCCTGGCGTGCACGGAGGCTGCCAACGTCCTGTGGGGGGACTCGGGGAGACGCTTCGCCTGTCCGCTCCTTGCAGGCCGCAGGCCGCTGGGGCAGGAGGCAAGTGGTGGCGAGAGCCCCGGGCCGGAGCCATGCAGTGGGGTGGCCCCAGAGGGAAGGCCCCCAAGGCCCTGAATGCATGCGGGCATCGGCGGAGCTGGGGGGCGGTTGGCGGCGATTCAGAGACCTGAGGAGAATGTGGGGGAGCCAACCCTGTGCACCTTGAGGGCCCCCCCTGAAGAGGGGGGGTGGCGGGGCCAGCCAGGGCACTTGTTACCTTTGCCGGTGGGGCAGGGCCCCTCCTCCGTGCAGCTTGAAGTGGAGAACAGACAGGTCAGAGCAGCGAGAGCCCCAGCGCCCTCTTGCGGGAAGGCTGCTCCCCACACACTCCATGGATGGCTAAGAGCGGGCCCCCACCCCTCCTCGACCCTGCCAAGGGCTAGGGCAGCAGGGCCCCCAACCTACCCAGAAAAGGCCTCGCCAAGGTCCCCGTCCTCCTCATTCTCCTCCTCCTCCTCCCCTTCGTCATCCTGGGGGAAGAGAGCACTGGCATGAGGGGGCCCCTCGGGACTGACGGACCTCCCTGTGAGCGCCCCTGCAAGGGGGCAGCGCCTCCTGCCCCGCCCCGCGTCTCCCACCCATCCCGAGATCCAGAAGAATGACGGGGGGACGAGGGAGCCTTTCGGCCAGCTGCTGTGATCCACAGGCTTGGCCAGGGGAGGGGTGGGTGGGACTGTGCTGGGCCCCCGCACAGTACCTCCAAGTCGGCCTTGCACGGCGGGCTGGCCGCGGGGGGCCTGGCAGGCGGGCCGATGCCGTCTGTCTCGCGCGCCTCCCCCTTCTCCCTGGAGCCTGAAAAGAAGCAACGCCGAGGCTGACCTGCCCGGCTTGGTGTTGACAAAAGGGAAGGTGCTGGCGCATGCACTGCCCTGCAACCCACCCCCTGCCCCTTCCTGCCACCATTCGGGAAACGGCACTGCTGCACATCTCAGTCCTTGCCCTCCCCCAGGGAAAAGGGGCAGGCCCCGCCTGGCCACCCCCAGGGCCCCATCTCACAAATAGGTGTGTCATGCTGGGGGGGGGGGGGCGCATCGGGTCTGCTCCCAGGCTCACTGGGAAGCCTCCTGTGTGGAGGCCGCCATACCTGCCTGTGCAGCCTCCCAGAGGTCCAGGGCCACCTGGAAGGCCTGTGCCACAGTGAGAGTCACCGCTCGCGCCTACGATGGAAGTAGAGAAGGAAGACAGCATTGGCCAAGACCCCGCAACCCCCAGCCCAGGTATCAGCAGCGGGCACAGAGGCCTCTGAGGTGGCCCAGAGCAGCCCTTGGCTGGGCCTGGCCTCAGCCCTGCCCAGGAAATGGGCACCTACCACCTTCTTCTTGGGCGACAGGAACGCGTGGCATTCCAGGGCCCCTGTTTGTGGGTTCTGTGCCACGTAGGCAAAGACCTTGTTCTGCAGCTTGTCTGTGCTACAATAGGAAATCCTGGAGGAAGGCAGAAAGAGGCGCTCAGCAGTGATCCTCCTCAGCCCAGGCCAGAAGAGCGAGCGGCGGGGCAGGGCACGCATGGGCCCAGCAGGGCAGAGGCAGGGAGACGGCACTGCAGGCGCTCCAGCAGGGAAGGGGGCTGGCCGGCAGCACGTACGGGAGCCGCAGCCACCAAAGGAGTGGTATGTGCTCCCTGGCCCGGCCGTGAGGATGGCAGCACGTGGAATGCGAAACGGGGGAGCAGAGTTCCCCCCACTTCCCCAGGGAGAACCAAAACGCCCTGTTCCAAATGAGCAAGGGGGCAAAGAAGAGACCGAGCCACCCAGGAGGGTCTCTTGAATTGACCACACACAAAGCCCAGCCTGGTTGCACTTAGGTGCTCTTTATGCGAGCCACCCCAACAAGCCAAAGGTTTGCCATCTATCCACTTTTAACAGTACCCCAGGACAGGGAGGCTGGGGCACTTTCCCCCTCCATCAGCAACAGTCTCTGAAGGCTGCCCCCCTCCCACACCATGGCCAGCATCACACCTGTAAATGGAGACTGTTCCCATGGTCTCCTTGGTCTCGGCATCTTGCAGAGAGAGCCCCCGAGATGAGACAGTCAGAATCACCTTCTGGAACTTCCTGGGCCCCACCCGAGCCTGAGGTCAGAAAAAGACAGAATGGCAGAGAGTAGGTAGGGGTATCAAAGGAGAACTGGCCTGGATCAAACCAAATGCCGAGCATCTTGCTTCAAACAAAAGCAAAGTAAACAGCCGCTGGTTCCAAGAACTCCACAAGCAACCTAGGAAGTACAGTCCCCCCACAATTCTTCCAGTAACTAATACGCTGGAGACTGCAACTAAAGACAGTGGTAACATTTAACCAAGATGCACAACAGACCCTGAGCGACCGATCAGTTCTCTTCCTCTAGCCCCTTAAAAGCCCTCTAGGCTGGTGGCCAGCTCCTCTTCTTGCTGCTGAATGTTCTGCCAGTGCTGCATTCTGTGTAGGTTTCCTTTTTATCTGTCTATGCCCTCATATTATTTTTTAAAAATCAGTCTCTGTCCCAGCATCCTTAGTCACCTTTCTGTTCCAAACCAGGATGCCCCAAACCCTTTAGTTTTTCCTGGATGGAGAAGCCCAGGTTGATCGATTTGTCCCTTGCTCCCCCTTTCCCTCTGGCACAACTCCTTTGGTCTTTTAAAAGCCTGAGCACCTCGGCAGCACCACAGCCTGCCACAGAGGTGCCCTGGAGGTGTCATTGCCATTAATGGTTAGGAGAGCCTGAGGCAGCCCCCCACCTGACTGGACCTCCAGAGGCACCTGGTTGTTTTTCACCTGGCCACTGGGAACAGCTACATGGTCAAGTGTGGCTCCTAGCACTACTGTTGTTTGCAGCGATCACCAGCCAACTTGTGTCTCAATGCTACATGTGATTGTTTACTTTCTTCTCTGCAAACTATTCTTAAAGAGTGTCCATTAAGCAGGCCAGGAAGCGAGCACAGCCAACTACAGCAACAGGCTGAAAGGCCAAATAATGCCGGATTTGGAGCTGCTGCTGCTGCTTGCCAGAAAGGCCAAGCCTTCAGTATCCCAAAGCCCCTGAGCAAAGGAGCAGGGAGAGGCTGCCGCCGCCCCAGAGGAACCCCTGTGGGGCAGCCAGTGCCAAGGTGTCTTTTTTGGCAGGGCAAAGGTCTTATCTACCATGGCAATGATCCGATGGATGGCCGCTGCCGCCATGTCCTCCCCTTTGGGCTTCTCCACCAGTGTCATGCCGAGGTACTTGAGCGCAAAGCCCATACCCTCCAGGAGGGGCTCACGCATATCAGCCCAGCTCTCAGGGAGCTCTGCAAGGCAAGAGAGATTAGAAGAGCAGGGAAGGGGGAGACAGCACAGACAGCCTCACTTGCCAGCATGCAGGGAGTTCAGGAATCCATCACCCTTCCAGATACGGAGAAAACCTTCTCTCTAGAGTTGTTCATTTCTGCAAACCTCGGGATTTACCCAGGTGGAGCAGAAGTTCCTCGGCCTGGTGTGCAGAGACCGCTGTTCTGGCTGCCTGGACAGATGGAGGGAGGAGCAACGGCACACATGGCCTGCCCACTGCAGCCGCGGGATACGGTTTGGACAGCAGGCCGCCTACGCAAGCTGCGCCAAGCTAGGCTGAACCAACCGCATCTTCCACTTTGGGCAAACGCGTATTTCGACTTGGGAGCCCCCGGGGTGCCCGCCTCGTGCATCAAACAGAGTGCGGTGCTGCCCGGGCGCCGAGCCTGGCCTGCCACCCGCTCCTCAGCCCGCAACGTGGGGAAGCGCGGACTCCGCCGCTGCCGCCGGCCCGCGGGGCGCTGCAGCCTCCCCCGCCGCCGGCCGCCCCAACGCGCAGCGCCGAGCAGCTGCGCCCGCGGGCAGCCCTGCCGCTGGGCTCCGTCCGGCCCCGAGCTGCGAGCCGCCACGCGGGCTCGGCTGTCCCGCGGGGGGCCATCGTGACCGCCCAGGAACCCAGGGCACAGGCCGGGGCTGCGTCCGCCCGGCAGCCCGTCGCCCTCCCGCAGCCCGAGCCGCTCGCTTTCGCGACGGGCCGCGCGCGCCCCCGAGCCGCAGGAGCGCGCTCCAGCAGCCGCCCCCGCACGCAGCCTCCCGCCTGGGCCGAGGAGGGGAGGGGAGAGGAGGGGAAGGGCGCCCGGCCCCCGGGGCGCCCGCGCGGCGGACTCACGCTGGCGGTGCAGGGGCCGGCGGCGCAGGCGGGAGACGCCCAGGCGGTGGCGGGCAAGGCTCGGGCTCCGGAGCACGGCGCGTCCCGCCGCCCGCAGCGCCTCCATGGCCGCCAGTGGAGCGGGCGGGGCGGGGCGGGGCGGAGGCGGCCCGGCCCCGGCGCGGCCCGGTGGCGAGTGGCCTCCTTCCCAGCCCCGGGGAGGAGCGGGCGCCGCCCCACGAGCGCGGGGCTCCCCGCCCGCATCCCGAGGGACGCTGCCGCCCGAGGCGAGAACCAGGCGCTCGCCCCGCCAGCGTTCAAAGCGGGTTTTCTAAAGGCAACCCGGAAATCCCCCGACCAAGCGAGCGTGCTGTCCTTCTATACCGTATCTCTGAGGTCTCGCGCGCTCTTGCTCCCTCACTTCCGCTCGCGTGGCGCCAGCGCGTCCGGAGGCGCGTGCGGGGCTGTTGCTGGGCAACGGGGCAGACGCGGCTCGCTGCCGGTGGCAGCGATGCAGCTGCGGCACGTTCGGACCCTGCTCGCCCCGCAGGTGGGCCTTGGGATGGGCCCGGATCGGAGCCGCGCTCGGGCGGGGCGGCTCTGGGCGCTTCTGGGGCCGCCGCCCGGCTTCGTCCCGGGGGAGCCTGGGCTGCGCGCCTCCACGGGCCTCGACGCCGGCGACCGGCGCGCCCCCGACCTTCTGGGCCATCCCGGGCCCTGTCCGGGGCGGGGCGACGCCCGCAGCCTTTCCCGGGCTGGCAGCGTCCGGGGCGCGGGCGCCACTCAGCCCTGCGGGGGAGGGGTCTCGGCCCCCGAATCCGGCCCGGGTGGTGGAGAGACGGGCAGGGCGAGCAGGGGCTCTGCGAGGGAGAGGCTGGCCTTGCCTCTCCTGGCCGAGTGGCCTTCCTACCTGCTCCCCAGCCCCGCACACTCGGAGGGACCAGCTTTGGCAGTGCTCCTTCCCCGCCTGCCCACAGCGTTCCCTGCTGCTTCCCTTTAGGATGGAGCTGCCAAGGTCACATGCATGGCCTGGGCCCCAAGCAATGCCAAGTTTGCAGTCTGCACGGTGGATCGAGTGGTTCTCCTGTATGATGAGCACGGTGAGCGCAGGGACAAGTTCTCCACCAAGCCGGCAGATGCTAAGGTAAGGACTGGCTGGCAAAGTAGGAGGCTGGGCTAGGCCTATGATGTCAGACATCGCTGATGGGAGCTCAGCATGACTTACTAAGGATATCAGAAAAGCCATGCTCAGTCAGACCAATCCATCCAGTCCAGCACTCTCTTCATAGTTATTTACTTGTTGTTGTTAGTCGCGAAGTCATGTCCGGCCCATCAGAACCCCATGGACAACATTCCTCCAGGCCTTCCTGTGGAGTCCACTTATGCTCACACCAACTGCTTCAGTGACTCCATCTAGCCACCTCATTCTCTGCCGTCCCCTTCTTCTTTTGCTGTCTATTGTTCCCAGCATTAGGCTCAATCTCATGTCATTTTGGAGATTGTATCCCAGTACAGCTTTTCCTACTCTTTTATTGACTATGAAGGCTATTCCATTTCTTCTGAGGGATTCTTGCCCACAGTAGTATATCTGATGGTCATCTGAATTAAATTCACCCATTCCTGTCCATTTTAGTTCATTCATTCCTAAGATGTCGATGTTCAGTCTTGTCATCTCTTGTTTGACCACATCCAGCTTGCCTTGATTCATGGATCTTACATTCCAGGTTCCTATGGAGTATAGATCTTTACAGCATCGGACTCTCCTTTCACCACCAGATACATCTGCAACTGAGTGTCCTTTCGGATTTGACCCAGTCACTTCATTCTTTCTGGCGCTGCTAGTACTAGCCCTCTGCTCTTCCCCAGTAGCACATTGGACACCTTCCGACCTGAGGGGCTCATCTTCCGGCCTCATATCATTTTGCCTTTTGGCACTGTCCGTGGGGTTTTCATGGCAAAGATACTGGAGTGGGTTGCCATTTCCTTCTCCAGTGGATCACGTTTTGTCTGAGCTCTCTGCTATGACCCGTCCGTCTTGGGTGGCCCTTCACGGCATAGCTCATAGCTTCTTTGAGCTACGCAAGCCCCTTCGCCACAACAAGGCAGTGATCCATGAAGGAGTACTTACTTATTATAGATTTGTATTCTGCCTTTTCTCATACAAAGAACCCAGAGTGGCTTGCATCACTGAGAGCCTCCTCCTGCTCAATAATATCCCCACAACAACCACCCTGCGAGGTAGCTTGGGCTAAGATTTTGTGATTGGCCCAGTTGGCTCCATGGCTGAGCAGGGATTATTCATAGGATGGCAAATCAGCTGTCCAGAGAATCCTTCCTGAGGAATGGCTGCAACAGTTCCTCTGCCCAGGCTCTCCCAACAACTGGCACTCACAAGCATTCTTTCTCTGGTTCTGAAGGAAGCACACAACCCTCCAGTAATAGCCTTCTTCACCAAGAGTTTGCCCAGTTGCCTTCAAAGCCTGCCAAATTGTTCACCATCACTGTCTTCTGTGGCAGTGGATTATATATTTCAGCTGCGCGCTGTGTGAACAAGCCCATCTTTCATTTTCTCCTGAATCTCCCACCACTCGTTATGGGATGACCCCGGATCTATTTCCTCTGACCTGTGTGCACGCCATGCATAATTTTACTCTCTTCTATCATGTCTCTCCTTACTCATCTTTTTTTAAAGCTGAACAGGCCCGGTTGCAGACACTCTTCATAGAGGAGTTGCTCCAACTCCTTGATCATTTTAGTTGCCCTTTTCTTCATTCCCTTTGTCCACTTAGCAGCACATACCAGCGTGTGGCTGTGGTGAGGGGCTATAAAAGCTTGCAATGAAACAGAGGAATAAACCAACAACAATCCTTTTTCCTTGGGAGAAAAAGGAAATTCTTGGGGATGTTTGAGGAATCTGTTTTGTGTGTGGGACTCTATCAGATTCCTTGGACTCAGCTCTCTGGACTCCTGTCAGATTTGTCGCAACCCTGTTTGCACACCAGTGACCACACGGTGCCCACCAGGAACTGAGCGCCACATGGAGCACAAGCCGAATCCCTCTTTCACATCACACCATGTGTGTCAGCCTTTATGACGTGCTGACACAGAGGAAGATTGCTCATGCAGGGCTCACCAGGAATGGAGTCCTGCACAACAGCCGCACAAGCAGCACCAGCCTGTACCACATGCACAGCTTTGTTTGCAGTGCTGCGCACGGTGCAGAAGAAGGTTGCTGGCTGCGCGGCCTTCATTCTGCAAGCGTTCATAGCTGTCCTCACAGCTTGGCCCTTTCTACAAGTGAGCCAAGCAGGAGAGGAAGTCCATGAATGCTAGAGCAGTGGGAGCCTGCTGAATTTCCTCCATACCCTCATGTTGGCTGAGTGGGAAGCACCAGCGCCTCACCCTGGTTTCATGGCTGCACGTTGCATGTTCTGTTCCAAGGGGCAGCTGACTGGATTCTGCCCTACTGTTTGTGTGTGCTTCTGAAAGCGTGCAAGCCGGAGCAGGGTCTCCCAAGGCACAGTGCAACTGCAGGACGAGCAGAGGGAGAGGCTCGCCCGGCCTTGTTCGGCTGCATGCTTGCCAGGGGCACTCTCCCGGAGCAGTCCCTTTGTTGGCCCCAGCTTGCCCGTGTCTGCTCTTGGCTTTGCTTGGGCCTGTGCTCGTGTTTCTCTTCTCCTCTCTTTTCTCCAGTATGGTAGGAAGAGCTATGTGGTGAAGGGCATGGCATTCTCCCCAGATTCCACAAAGATTGCAATCGGGCAAACAGATAACATCATCTTTGTCTACAAGATTGGGGAAGAATGGTAAGTGCCTTCATTTGGGCAAGAACCACCCCAGAAGGAGAGACTAGATCTCCTCCTCCTGGAGTCCCCCCCCCCCACTGCATCTCCCTGAAGAGATCCTTGTGGGTGCTTTCCTCCTTTGCTGTACCCTCTGTAGTACCTTGGTGGGGGCAAGCAAGCGGCCCCCTTCCTCCTGGCCTCTGGCAGACCTGAGGAGTGAGAGGCGAGGTGACAACATCTGGCCAGATTCTCAGAACAAATTTTGAGGATGACCTTCTCTCTCTGCTTTTTCTGGTTCAGGGGTGACAAGAAGGTGATCTGCAACAAGTTCATACAGACGGTAAGGGGACCTGCCACCTCTTCCGTGCTTCTTCTCCACATTTTCCAGTTAACAGAAGCTGGGTCTTGAACTGCTGTTCTGGCCACTTGCCCTGCTCTCCAGAGCTGCTCTGGACAGTGGTGGGCATGGAGGTGCTGGAGTGGGTCTCATTCTTGAACAGAGGTGGGGCAGGTGGGTGCCTCAGCCAAACTCGGGAGGCCTGCAGCAGTCGAACGTTCATGCCTGGCTGGAGGAAGCTCGGCCCAGGGGTGGGGAGACCGTTTGCAGAGGACGGGGGGTTGTGATGCCAGGCTGGCTTGTGCAGCTCGCTTTCCTCGAACAGCCCCGGGGCTGAGCCAGCTGCTCTGCTGGGCCTGGGGAGGAGTTTGCCCTCCCCTGCATCTGAGGCTCTCTTGCTGCCCTTTCCCATTAGAGTGCCGTCACATGTTTGCTGTGGCTAGAGGAGAGCACCATCATTTTTGGTCTGGTTGAAGGCAAGGTAAGTGAGGGCAGTTGGCCGGCAGGCCTTCCCTTGGGAACGGGTTGTGGGTGGGAAGAGCGGCCTGACTCAGCTGGCACTGCACTGCCTCCTCACCCCCCTCCCTTTCACCTGCCGGGCTGATCAGATTTTTCTCTCTCAGGTTCGTTTGGCAAACACCAAAACGAACAAATCATCCACCATTTATGGGACGGATTCCTATGTGGTGTCTTTGGCTTCCAAGTAAGTAGGGGAGGAGAGGGCCCTGCTCCTGTACCTGAGGGTGGCAAGCCCTGATTCTCTCTGCCCCCCCCCCATCTCCAGTCAGTAGTTCTGCCCTGAGGGAAGCCCAGCACACACCTCTCTTCACAGGTATCTGTTGTCCAGATCTGAGCAGAGGGGCTTGTTGGCTGTGCCCCACTCCTTTGGGACCTCTTGGCCCTGGTGCGAACCGTCACCCTGTGCACTTCCAAGGGGATTGTGATGCTCTTCTCCCCACATCTCAGACCAGCTGACTGGTGTAGGCAGCCTGGGAAGAAGCAAACCAGAGACTGACACTTCTCCCCTTCTTCTCTGCAGCATCTCAGGGAAGGGGATCCTGTCTGGGCATGCAGATGGAACGATTGTACGCTACTTCTTTGATGATGAAGGCTCCGGGGAGTCACAGGTTTGCCCTATAAAGAATGTCACATTTTCTTGATTACTGTCAATGTGCTTGAAATCCTACTCTGAGCCCTCACCCAAATCTGGATGGTGCAACATTCCTGCAAAACATAGAAACATAGCAAGTCAGAAGGGACCACCTGAGCCATCTACTCTGACCGTTGGCACAAGCTGTCTCCACTGAATGTCCGTCCAACATGTGGTTGGCCAATCTTTTGTTGAACGCCCTCACTGATGGGACATCCAGCACCTTCCATGGAAGTTCATTCCATTTCCTAGGGATCCTAACAGGAAACACTTCCTGACATCCAACCTAAAACCTGGTTCTTGAGCTTTGCCCATTGGATTGTGTCCTTCCCTCCACCACAGAGGGGAACAGGTCACAACACTCTACTATGTGACACCCTTTCACATACTTGTATGTCATTATAAGTCTCCTGTATGTTCTTCACAAGTCACACCTCATCTGGAAAACTCTGTCCAGTTCTGGGCACCAAGATTTAAGAAAGGTGCGGAAAAATTAGGGTCCAGAAGAGGGAAACAAAAATGATCCAGGGTTTGGAAACACTGCCCTGTGAGGAGAGACCAAGAAAACTTGGGCATATTCAGTTTTGAGAAGAGAAAACTGAGGGGGAGCATGAGATCCCTCCATAAGCACCTCGAAGGCTGTCACAAAGGGGAAGGTCAAGATCTCTTCTCACTAATGCCAGAGTGCAGGACATGGAATAATCAAGTCAAGCTGCGACAAGCCAGATTCAGGCTGGACATCAGGAAAAGCTTCCTCACTGTCTGAGCAACACGACAGTGGAGAGGTGGGGGGGGGGGCTCTCCCATTCTAGAGGCATTAAGAAAGAAAGAGGGCAGCCATCTGAGTAGGATGGGGTATATTGTTGCCCTGCAACTGCGAGAGGTTGGACCCAGTGGCCTTCACGGCCTCTCCCCACTCTACTCTTCTATGATTCCCTGATAAGATCCCCGTGGAGTCTCCTCCATGCTGAAAAGACTCCGTTCCCTCAATCTCCCTCCCCAGCTGCCCCCAGTATGGCTACCATCCTTGTGACCCTGCACTGAACTGTTTCCAGCCTTGTTATCTCCCTCTTGTAATGTGGAGCCCAGAACAGGACACACTACTCCAGTTGTGGGTGCACCATGGTCTTTTATAGCGTGGTACCAACACCTCTCTTAATCTGGAAGCCACTCCTCCAAGGGTGCTGTTTGCCCTCTTAGCCGCCGCGTCACATGGCTGGCTCGTGTTCACCCTGCTGTCAACAAGCACCCCAAGGTCCCTTGCTCAAGTGCCGTTCTCCAGCCACTTGTCCCCCGCCCTGTGCCTGAGGAACCCATTCCTGAGTTCCAGATGCAAGACTTAGCATGTAACTGCATTGAACACCTTCCTGTCATCTCCACCCACTTTCACAGCCTGTCCGGATACTTTTGGGTCTGGAGTGCCTGCTCCTCCATTGTGGCTGCCACTGCCACTTTGGTATCATATGGGAATTTGGTCAGCAGACCGGTTACCCCCTCCTCCAGGTCGCTGATGAAAGCTGACCAGAATCAGTCCCAGAACTGAGCCTTAGTGGAGTCTGTCTGTCACTGGCCATCCTGACGCTTCCCCACTGATAGTCACCCTCTGCGTGCCCCCCACCCCTCCAGTCCATGGGACGGTGCCTCATTCTGTCCCAAAGCTCAGCCATTTCTCAGCCAGGATATCAGACGCCGCCTTGTCAAAGGCTCTACTGAAACCCCGTCTGTGCTCCTGCGACGTCTGCAGAGAAGTTAGGCTCCCTTTTAGGTGCTGGAGGACACAGGATTATGGGTGTGGGGGTTTTTCTCAGCCAGAACTGCGGGGGAAAGCCAAAGCTGGCCAGGGCACATGGAAGCTCTTGTGGCCCCAGCTCTGTGTGGCCAGGGGGTGCGGGGAGAGTGCCGGGATTTCCTCAGCAGCTTCGGTGGTCCAGCACAGCCTGATGTGCCCTTGTCTGGGATGGAGCCGAGGCTGGGTTGGTGCGGCCGCCACGAGCCCTTCCTGGCTGGCCCCTTCTTATTTTATTTATTTATTTATTTAGGGAACTTTTATGCCGCCCCATTCGCCGAAGCCTTGGGGCGGCTCACAACCATAAATAAATAGAATCCAATAAAACAATATAAATTAACAATATAAATTAAGTAGCCCTGGCCAAAGAATAAAATAAATAAATAATGTTAACAATTAAAATAATGTTTGATTAAAAGGTCTTCGCCTGGCGCCGAAAAACAAATAATGACGGCGCCAGGCGGACCTCTCTGGGGAGCGCATTCCATAGATCGGGCACCACCGCAGAGAAAGCCCTCCTCCGAGTACTTACCCTCCTAATTTCCTTCTCAGAGGGTTCCCGGAGAAGGGCCTCTCCCGCTGATCTCAAGGGGCGGGCGGGCATATATGGACATAAGTGCTCCTTCAGGTAACCAGGACCCAAGCCGTTTAGGGCTTTATAGGTCATCACCAACACCTTGAATTGGTCCCGGACTTCAGTGGGAAGCCAGTGAAGCTGACGGAGGACTGGAGTCATGTGAACATAACGCCCAGTCCCCGTCAACAGCCTGGCAGCTCTATTTTGAACCAATTGAAGTATCCGGACCGTCTTCAAGGGCAGCCCCACGTAGAGCGCATTACAGAAGTCAAGTCGGGAAGTCACCAACACATGTGTCACTATCGCCAGGCAGTCGTTCTCCAGGTAGGGGCGCAGCTGATGGATCAGCCGAAGCTGGAGGAAAGCGCTCCTCGCCACCACTGTCACCTGAGCTTCCAGTGAAAGCTCTGGGTCGAGCACTCCCAAGCTGCAGACCTTGTCCCTAAGAGGGAGTGCAACCCCATTCAGGACTAGGTTCAATTCACCTTCCCCAAAGCCCGATCCGCCAACCAACAGGACCTCCATCTTGTCTGGATTGAGCTTCAGTTTATTGGCCCTCATCCAGCCCATTACGTCAGCCAGGCACCGGTTCAGCACAGCCACTGCCTCACCTGGATTGGTGGAGAACGAGAGGTAGAGCTGGGTATCATCAGCGTACTGATGGTTCCGCAGCCCACACCTCCTGATGATCTCTCCCAGCGGTTTCATGTAGACGTTAAACAGCAAAGAGGACAAAATGGATCCCTGCAGTACTCCATGGCATAGCTGCCATGGTGCAGAGCCATAGTCCCCCAGCACCACATTCTGGAATCGGGCATTGAGATAGGAGCGGAACCACTGCAAAGCAGTGCCTCCGACCCCCAATCCCGCTAGACTATCCAGAAGGATACCATGGTCGATGGTATTGAAAGCCGCTGAGAGGTCCAGAAGAACTAACAGGGACGCACTCCCCCTGTCCTTCTCCTTGCACAGGTCATCGTACAGGGCGACCAAGGCAGATTCAGTACCTTACCCGGGTCTGAAGCTGGACTGAAATGGGTCCAGATAATCAGTCTCATCCAAGAGTGCTTGGAGTTGTCCCGCCACCACCCGCTCCAACACCTTGCCCAGAAACGGGATGTTGGCCACTGGTCTATAATTAGTGGCCATCTCTGGATCCAGTGACGCTTTCTTCAGGACCGGTCAGACTACTGCCTCCTTTAAAGGGGCAGGCCCCCAACCCTCCCTCAGAGAAGCGTTAACCACTTCCAAGATCCAGGTCCCAATCCCGTGCTTGGAGTTGTTTATTAACCAAGATGGGCAAGGGTCCAGTAGGCAAGTGGTGGGACGTACTCGTCCAAGCACCTTGTCCACATCATCAGGCCGCAATAACTGAAATTCATCCATTAATTTTGGACCAGACGGAGGCATTGGTATCTCCCCAGAAGCCTCTGAATCACTAGTAGAGTTAGGTCGTGACGAATCTGAGCGATTTTCTCCCTGGAATGCTTGGCAAAGTTGTCACAGCGGGCCTTCGAGGGTGGAACCAGATCTTTCTCAGGGCCAGGATGGACCAGCCCTTGTACCACCTGAAAAAACTGCCAGATGGCATTTTGAGGAGGCAATGGAAACGGAGAATTTCTTTTTCGCCGCCCTCACCGCCACAGCATAGGCCCGATAATGGGCTCTTGTGTGTTCAATCAGATTCATCTCGTGATCTCCTCCACCTACGCTCTAGCCATCTCCCAGCCTGCTTCATCACCTGCAATTCAGATGTATACCAAGGGGAAGAGTGGGCTCTGCCTGGCGGGAGAGGACGCTTAGGAGCGATCATGTCAACAGCCCTAGTTCCATAGTTCGACCAGAGCCTCAACAGGAGCACCAGTCTTGTCAGCCAGAAACTCCCCCAGGGCCTTCAGGAATCTGTCCGGATCCATCCGGCTCCAGGGGCGGACCCACACAATCGGGTCCGCACCCTTACAGAGGGAGAGGCCACTCTCGAGCACAAACCTCACGAGGAAGTGATCTGACCATGACAGAGGTGTCAGACATAAATTCCTCACCCTCAGACCACCCTCTTCCTGCCCCAGTGAGAAAACCAGGTCCAGAGTGTGTCCACGTTCATGGGTCTGGCCTGTGACATGTTGAGGCAGCCCTATGGCCGCCATGGAGGCCATGAAGTCCTGAGCCGCCCCGGTCAGACCAGTCTTGGCATGGAGATTGAAGTCCCCCAGGACCAACATCCTGGGGGTCCTCAACACCAGGTCTGAGACAATCTCCGTCAGCTCAGGCAGGGAGTCTGTTGGACAGAAGGGTGCACGGTACACCAACAGAATCCCGAATCTGTCTCGGTCGCCCAACACCAAGTAGAGGCACTCCAGCCCTGGTCTCAAAGGGACTGGAAGTCCCGTGAGGGAGATGGAGGCTCGGTAAACCAAAGCGACCCCACCTCCACTCCCCTCCAGGCGTGGATGGTGCTGAACCAGGTACCCGGGCGGGCACATTTGAGAGAGGGCGACAGCCCCCCCACACCCAGGTCTCTGTTATGCAAGCCAGGTCGGCCCCCTCATCCACAATCAAGTCATGGATGAGGGAAGATTTGTGGACCGACCTGGCATTAAGCAGCAGCACCGTCAGGCCTGGGGGGCGGTTGACAAGACTACCTGGAACCCTCTGGCTGGGGGTAGAACCAGAAGGAGGGACAGGTGTCAGCCACCTGTCCCTCCTTCTACGCGGACACGTTAAGCCCCCACCGCTGTAACATCCATTGCCCGTGACCACCCCAATGGCGGCACCCACGCGCTCCCCTGGAAGCTCAACCGTCGACATGGCCAGGGATGACTCCATAAAAACAAATTAAAATACAATAAAACTTTAAAACAGTAAAAACTCCCCGTCTACCCCCCTGATAGAAAATTCCACCCACCGACCTAGCCCCCCGCCAGCCCAGCCCCGCACAGCCACGAACGGCCACAAACGGCTGCGACTACCCTTTGGCCATCACCCTTCGGCCGGTGGCCTCTGGCCAGCATCCAGCAGGTTAAGCCGGTGCCCGCCCGCGCACCGCACCCCAGTCTGGCGTTGCTCTCACTGACGCCGGCGGTGGAGGGAGCAGAGAGGGGCACGGAAACCCGCCAGGCGGCGAGATGACGGTGCCCTCCTCTGCACCGTCGACAGCGGCCCTGGCGTGGCCCTGGCGTCCTCCATCCCCGGGGTGGCCCAGCAGTGGCCGTGGGAGCGGCATCAGCTGGCCTCCGGCTCGGCAGCACGCCTCACTCTTGCTGTCTCTGTTGCCTGGACAGGGCAAGCTGGTCATGCACCCCTGCCCCCCTTATGCCCTGGCATGGGCCTCCAGCAGCATCGTGGCCGCCGGCTGTGACAAGAAGATTGTGGCCTATGGGAAAGAGGGCCATGTGATCCAGACCTTTGACTACAGCCGAGATGCTTTGGAGAAGGAGTTCGCAGTGGCAGCTGCCAGCCCAGGCGGCCAGTCCGTGGTCATTGGCAGCTTTGACAGGTTAGGGTGCTCAAGGGAGCATGGGTGGGGAGTGCTGTGGGGCAGGCCAGCTCCCCCTTTTGGTTGCTCAGTTGCTCTCCTTGATTCCCCAGGCTGAGGGTGCTGAATTGGAGCCCCCGCCGGAGCGCCTGGGAGGAAGCCAAGCCCAAGGAGATCCCACATCTGTACACGATCACTGCTTTGGCCTGGAAACGAGATGGCTCCCGGCTCTGTGTGGTGCGTGTGTGGAAGACTTGCCAGCTTAGATGTGTCTGCTGGATGGAGCTTCCCAGGAAGGCCTCCTTCGCCCTGCTGGGCAGTTTGTTTGGTAGACAGAAACGGCCGGTGCATTGTGGGAGGGTGACTAACGGAGACCGTTGCTTCCGCAGGGCACCCTCTGTGGTGGAGTGGAGCAGTTTGACTGCTGCCTTCGCCGGAGCATTTACAGGAATAAGTTTGAGATGACCTACGTGGGTCCCAGCCAGGTACGCGGATGGTGAGGGCAGGAGCTCCGCCTCCTGAGGAGCTGCTGCATGCAGCCTGTGGCTGTGAATGGGGTGGCGGGGTGGGGGGGCATGTGTCATGGGTTGGACAGTGCGGTGAAGGAAGGAGCTGCCTAAACGCTCTCACCTGCCGCCGTGGAAAGAATCCGCAGCACTGAGGGGACTCTTCCAGGTGTGCTGTGGAGCCATTTCCTGGGTATGATGCTCCTCAACATTTTCATTAATGACTTGGATGAGGAAGTGCAGGGAATGATAATTGTATTTGCAGATGACACAAACCGGGTGGGATAGCTAATACTCTGGAAGACAGAAACATTTCTGCCCATTCTAAACACATTCCAGCCATCAAAATCATGCCAGGACACTACCCTAACACTACCCTGGTGCACTCTCCTAAACCTAGTATGTATGTATGTATGTATTTAGTAAACTTCTATGCTGCCCCATTTGCCGAAGCCTCAGGGCAGCTTACAACAATAAATACATACATATAATCATATAAAAGCAATATAATTGGAAATGCCTTGGCCAAAAATATAAAATCAATAAATAAGCTAACAATTAAAATGCCGTTTAAATAAAAAGGTGTTGGCCTGGCGCCGAAAAACATGTAATGACGGTGCCAGGCGGACCTCTCTGGGGTGCGCATTCCATTGATAGGGCGCCACCACAGAGAAAGCCATCCTCCGGGTACTTACTCTCCTAATATCCTTCATGGAGGGTTCCCGTAGAAGGGCCTCTCCCGCTGATCTCAAGGAGCGGGAGGGCACGTATGGACGTAAGCGCTCCTTTAGGTAATATAAGGGTAACATGCCATTCCAAGAGGTGATTTTGAAAAAGCCTCCCTTGAGTAGCTTTTTCTACACAGCTCATCTTTTCTGCCCATTCTAAACACATTCCATCCATCCAAGCCAGGCCAGCATGCCTTGTTTTTTGAACTCTAACCCAGTGATGGTGAATGGCTATAAACTGTCTGGAGATGACAATGATGGACGGCTTCTAAATTTCCTAAATAAATAAACCTTTTGGAGACCGAGTGCCCAAACTGCAATCCAAAGCCCACCTATTTATTGCAAAGTGCCAACACTGCAATAAAAACGGAAAACTGAGGTTTTAGTTTAGAAAGAACAACTGACGGCCGGTCCAAGCAAAAATATATATTTCTTTGGCAGTGCTCTGACTAGCCATGCATAAGCTCGGACAAGTTGCGACTAATGAGCCGCCGCTCGTGACATCATCGCCTGGCGCCAGTACTCCTTTCCGAGCATGTGCACGGCCCCTGTGTGTGCTGTTGTCCGATGCTTGGCTGCTGGGGCGATGCTGGGACGACTTGGCTCGCGTGCTGACAGAGAGGGCTCTGCATACATGCCACAGGTTCGCCAGCCCTGCCCTAGAGTATGGAAGTGGGCTTCCCAGAGAGGTGGTCCGGGCCCCATCAGGGAGGGTGTTCAAGGAAAGATTGGACACGCAAATGTTGGGGATTGCATGGGCACAGCTGGGGGTCAGAGCAGATCACCTCGGAGGCCCCTTCTGACTCACTTTGTCTCTGTGTTTCTTACTGGCTGCCCAGCTGCGTCTGGGAATGCCACCAGTGTGGGAGAGCCCACAGTCTCCCTCGGAAATTGGTTCCCTTGCCATACTGCTCGGGCAGTCAGGAAGTTCTCCTGATGTCCAGCTGGAGCCCTTTTTCCTGTGCCCTGCACTCTGGGATGACCGAGGAGAGATCCTGACCCTTCTCTGTGTGACAGCCTTTCACAATTTGAAAGGTGCTTCCATGTCTAAGCATGACCAGTCCTTTCCAGTGCTCCAAACAGGGCTTTGTTTCCTCTTCCCAGATCATCCTTGTTGGGCCTCTCTGAATTCTCGCCAGCTTGTCAAAGTGCTTCTTCAAGTGCAGCACCCAGAGCTGGATGCAGTAGTCAAGATGGGGCCCATGTAGTGATGAACAGCGGGGAAGCAGGACCTCCCGTGGGCAGGAAGCTGCAGCTCTAGGAATGCTGCCCCGAAGGGCACGTGCCTTTTCGCAAGCCGCTCCTGGGGCTTCGGCTCCCCTGAGCTCAGCGAGGTGCTGCGGGCGCTTGGCCTGCCCAGTCAAATTGACAGCATCCCGCTCTTTCTGCTTGCTCGTTCCTGGAACTTTTCCACAAAACACTTTAAAAGAACATTTTACAGAATTGTATACAAACCCACTAAATTCAGGGTTTTCAGTCAAAAGAACTTTAGAAGGATGCCAATTCCTCTGGGGTAACTTGTTCCGCCTCCCCTGGAAGCAAGCGTGGGCCTCCCCTGGAGGCAGCCGGGGCCAGCAAGGGCTAGCCCACTGCCGCCAGTCTGCTGGGTCGGTGCTGGTGGGTGCCGCCAAGCAGGCGAGCAGGACGGGGACGAGCGGCTGACTTGGGTGCCTTCCCAGGTCATTGTGAAGAATCTTTCCACTGGCATGCGTGTCGTCCTGAAATCACACTATGGCTATGAAATCGACGAAGTGAAAATCCTGGGGAGGGAGCGCTACCTGGTGGCCCACACCTCAGACACACTCCTCCTGGGAGACCTCAGCTCCACCAAGCTCAGTGAGGTACATGCTGGGGAGCAGGGTGGGCGCTTGGCACGCCCTGAGCAGAGAGGTGCTTGTGGGGGGTGGGCACCGCCTGTGGCTGGCTCAGTCCGAGCTGCCGTGGCTTGCAGGAGTCCAGCTGGCTACACGGAGGGGCTTGCAGAGGGACCGGGGCATGGAGGGGGAGCAGCTCGGCCCAGTGAACGCTCCTCCCCCCTGCGACCTCCGAGGTGTCTGGCAGCACCTCTCCTGTTCACTTTCCCCTGGAGTGCTGCTTATGGAGGCCCAGGAGGTCTAGGATGCCTCTGGCTGCACTCAGCGCTCCGGCGTGGCCCCGTCCCACTCTGTCCGCACTGCCTCTCAGTGGGCTGGACTTCCTGTCCCTTCGCATTAGCTCTGCTCGTCTCCAGCTCTGGACTTCAGCCTCCTTTTCTTGCCAGAGCTGCGGCTTGATCTTCCTCCCCATACGCACTTCGCAGAATCACAGCTAGCCCACTGCCTTTGCTGGCCTGTATATCCTGACCCCACTGACCGATCCTCCGCCCTTCCTCTTGGCTGGCCAGCACTAGCTGGCAGCCCCTTCCCTCTGGCCTCCCACCCCTGCCCAGCGCTCCGGCTGCCTCCTCCTCACTGCCGCCATTGCAGGGACGTGAGCCGGAGCCTGTGCGGGTCCATGCGGGCTGCCCTGTGTACCTCGAGGGGAGGGTCTCCAGGGCCTCTGAGCAGAGTGCCTGGTGGGAAGCGTGTGGGGAGGGAGCTGCTGGGGCATGGGCATGGCTGGCCTGGAGCTCACGGGCACCGCCTGTCATCCCCAGGTGGCCTGGCAAGGTTCTGGCGGGAACGAGAAATTTTCCTTCGACAACGAGAACGTAAGTGGTGTGGGACTAGCCGGGGGAGGCAGTGCGGCTCTTGGCCGGGTCGACACGCGCAGCTCCAGGGCCCAGGCGCCTCTCCTCTGGCCCTGCGGCAGTCCTGCAGTGAGCAGCAGGGCCCGGGTGGGGTGGGGGGGACCTTTCTGGGACTGCTCCACTCCTGCTCACCTCTAAGCCTCAGGAGGGGGGTGCAGCTGGGACAGCCCCCAGGAGGCCGCTGTCTCGTCCTGCGGGGCAGGCAGCTCCACCAGCCTTTGCCCTTTCTGCGCCTGCTCCAGGTCTGCGCGATCTTCAACGCGGGGGAGCTGACTCTGGTGGAATATGGGTGCAATGAGATCCTGGGCTCCGTGCGCACCGAGTTTATGACCCCCCATCTCATCAGGTGAGTGCTGGCCCTCCCTGGGGCGGGGACTTCGGAAGAAGGCGGTGTGCAGCATGTCAGGCCGCCTCCTTGCCACTGTCACCACCGCAGTGTCCGCATCAATGAAAGGAAGCAGCGGGGTGCAGAGGAGAGCAAGCGGCTGGCCTACCTGGTGGACATCAAGACAATAGCCACAGGTGAGCAGGGCCCCCTGTCCGCCCCGCCCCGCCCCGCCCCTCTTCAGACTTCAGTCCTGACCCTCCTGGCTTTTCTTTCCCCACCGCCCCACAGTGGACCTGGTGGGAGGCTGCAATATCGGCACCATCAGCCACGACAGCAAGATTGACTGGCTGGAGCTAAATGAGACGGGCCACAAGTTGCTCTTCCGGGACAAGAAAATGAAAGTAAGGCCTGGAGCAGAGATGGCGAGGGGTGGGCAGGTGGCGGCGGCCCCACTTCCCTCATGCCCATGCCTCTCCTCCTGCTGCCCAGCTGCATCTCTATGACATCGAGTGTGCAACAAAGACAACCATCCTGAGCTACTGCTCCTACGTGCAGTGGGTCCCCGGGAGTGACGTGGTTGTGGCTCAGAACCGGAACAGCCTCTGCGTCTGGTACAGCATCGACAGCCCTGAGCGAGTGACCATGTTCCCCATGAAGGTACTGCTGCCCCTCGCTCCCGTGCTGGCCAGGGAGCTCTCCGGCCTCTTGGAGGGAACATCCAGCAACCCGGCGAGGCAGCAGGCAGCCTTCCCTCGGGAGGGTGGGCTGTCTGTGAACCAAGCAGCCTGAGTGGGGCGAGCAGCGGAGGCCTGCTGAGCACCTGGTCTTTGGCAGGGTGACATCGTGGACCTCGAGCGGAGCGGCGGGAAGACGGAGGTGATTGTGACCGAGGGCGTGAACACCGTCTCCTACACCCTGGACGAGGGGCTCATTGAGTTCGGCACCGCCATCGACGATGGGGACTACCACAGGTGAGGAGCGGGCGGCGACTGGGCCAGCTGTGGGGAAAGTTGGGAGGCAGCCCCAGGAAATGCCCAGCAAGCAGGGCCGCGCGGGAAGCCCCAGAGGAGCGTGCGGCAGGGTCCCGTCCTCCTCCCTTTCCGCCTCGCTAGAGACGCCCTGCTCCTCCCTCCTCTGGCCTTGTCTCCCTAGGGCCGTTGCCTTCCTGGAGACGCTGGAAATGTCGGCTGAGACGGAGGCCATGTGGAAGACGCTGAGCCGGCTGGCCCTGGAGGCCAAGCAGCTGCACATCGCGGAGAGGTGGGCCGGAGGACAGAGGAGTGGCTCGCCCAAGGGGCCCCCTGACAGCTCGCGCCCAGAGCCCGCTCTGCTGATGCCGCCCTCCTGGGGCCCGGCACTCTCCTGGTGTGGCCCGCCACTCGCACTTTCTTGCACAGCCTTGTTCAGCACCAGCTGCTGGGGTCCTTGTGAGGCAAGAGAACACCTCTCGCCTGACAGTCACGTTTCTGCCCCGGCCCCCCGTACCACGATTCTTTCTGCATCCAGTATGCCCCCGCCCCCGTTGCAGATGGAGGCCTCCTGTGCACTGTTTTCAGACCTTGGCAGAGCGCCCCCTGACCCAACGGTCTCTCCGCAGGTGCTCTGCTGCTCTCGGGCACGTGGCCAAGGCTCGGTTCCTCCGTGAGACCAACGAAATTGCAGATCAGCTGACCAAGGAGTTTGTGAGTGGAGCTGTGGGCACGTGGCAGTACTTGCCCGTCCTCCCCGCCCCCTTCGGGGTGCCCTCCGCAAGCCCGACTGGGGGAACTCGCTGCGCCCTGGCCACTTCACCTGCGCCCTGGCTCCTCCCTGCCTGCGTTGCTGCCCCCTGCCTAGTGGAGGCCGCCTGCAGGGGCTGAACACCTGCTCAACTCACAGGCCAGCGGGGGGGGGGGGC